GGTCAAATTCCACGACCAAGGTTTCCACGGTTGTTCCAGTGAGGTGAACGTCGGATTGCGCCACCACCTCTTCGTCAGAGAAGCTAGTCCCCAGCGGAGTCGCCATCTTTTGTTTGTGGGAAATTTTGTAATAAAAAGAATATAAGGAAAGAATTGCGTTTGATTTTATTCTCTCTAACTGCTTAGAAAAAGAATGATTACAACTCTCTCAACTCTCGATTACAATTTGGATTCCTAGTTACAAAAGAGAAGAGAATGATCTGGATTCTCCCCTTTGTTTAATTCTGGGTTCTTCACGGTAGCGATGAGATGCCTCCCTCGAATGCTTGCGTCGAGTTTGCTTCTCGTTGACGATCCGAATATCTATACTCACTGGAACAACTGTCTTGGCCGGTTGATAACTCTTGTCGAGTTTTGTGATTCAGAACAAGTAACAAACTCTAATGATAGAGTTGTTGGAACCGAAAATAATTCGGTTGATAAGCCAAATATCTATGGTTTAGAGATCCTCCGTTTGTTGATTTCCCAGACTGTGTAAGGAGTCAATCCTCCTTTTTCTGATTCTGGAAGATTTGATCGAAAGATCCCCCTCCGATTAATGAAAAGAAATCTCTCTTGATCTGATTATCAAAAACGTTTGTTGATTTCCCAGACTGTGTAAGGAGTCAATCCTCCTTTTTCTGATTCTGGAAGATTTGATCGAAAGATCCCCCTCCGATTAATGAAAAGAAATCTCTCTTGATCTGATCATCAAAAATCCGATCTCCCCAATCCCTCAAAAGAGATCCTTTACTCTGTTGAGTTTGTTGCTATTTATAGGGGGATTAGGGGTGTAACTGCCCCCATAATCCGCGCCTAAATGGGGGTTTAGTTACCCCATTAGTCGGGTGTAACAACCCACTAAAGCCACTCCTCAAATCGTGGGTGAAGAACAGCTTCGAAGTTGTTACGATCACGTTTGAATGAGTCAGAACCTTGACCTGCGTTCTGGCGGTGATTGAGCTGCGTTTGGCAGCGACTGACGGGCTGCGTTGGGCATCGATTGATAAACTGCGTCGGCAGCGGTTGATAAGCTGCGTTGGGCAGCGGTTGATAAGCTGCGTTGGGCAGCGCGTTCGAGCTGTGCTTGGGAGCGATTGGAGCTGCGTTCGAGCTGTGCTTGGCAGCGATCGGAGCTGCGTCCGAGCTGTGCTTGGCAGCGATCGGAGCTGCGTCCGAGCTGTGCTTGGCAGCGATTGGAGCTGCGTTGGGCAGCGATTGATAAGCTGCGTTGGGCAGCGATGGAGCTGCGTTCGAGCTGTGCTTGGCAGCGATTGGAGCTGCGTTCGAGCTGTGCTTGGCAGCGATTGGAGCTGCGTTCGAGCTGTGCTTGGCAGCGATTGGAGCTGCGTTCGAGCTGTGCTTGGCAGCGATTGGAGCTGCGTTCGAGCTGTTGATTGTTGTAGTATTTAGATTTCTCTGTCTTTATATATGGATGACACCAAAGACCAGTAAAGAAGGTCTTATTCAGGCCATTTGTGACAATTGAGGCATCTCAATAACGCTCTATCAACTGCAGGTCATGATCTCCACTGAGTGTGTCGAATATCATTACACTGCTCATCAGCACCTCTAATGGTTGCTAATATAATATTAGTCATGTTGTTGTCGCAGCCATCAAGATCAATCATCTCACATAAGAAGCTGCATTCGTGTTTATAGCGGCGTAGGTGATTGAATCGGTGTAGTGTCTTGATGATGGTACGCGGGGAGGACTTCCACGTCTTGGTTTGAAGAGATCGTCGATTTGTAATCCTTTCTGTCAGAGTATTGCTAAAGACTGTCATTTTGTAATCTTTGCTTTAACTCTTTGACATGTGAAAATCTTCGAATTGTAGCCTTCTGGAAGTCGTCCAATTGCAACTTCCATCATCAGTGTTTGATGAGGAATCAGCTATCTTCTATTATTTTTAGACAGCCTACAAAAACTTGTTTTGAGATTTCTTGGTTGGCGAAAAAAATAAGAAAATGAATTATAAGAAACCTATTTCTTGTAATAGGTTGTTTTCTTTTGTTTGGTTATTTCTTAAAAATAAGAAAATAGATGAGATGAGATGAGTTGTCATTATATTATTGGATGATGTGACCTACACTTAAGGAAATTGTTTTCCTAGCTTTTTGAGAGGAAAACAAAGAAATGAAATGTTAATGAGATGAGATGAGTTGTCACAATCTTATTGGATGATGTGAGTGATTTTTAAATATAAGATGAGATGAGTTGGGTGATGTTGTGGATGAAAATAATATTTTATTAGATGTGGTGGATGTGATGGATGAGTTGTTGGATGAAAATAATATTTTATTAGATGTGGTGGATGAGTTGTTGGATAAAAATAATATTTTATTAGATGTTGTGGGTGAGTTTTAGGAATGGAAATGCGTGAAATTGTACTTTTTGAGATTTCTTGGTTTTCTTTTCTTTTTTTTGGTTTTTTAGGAAATAACCGAATAGACCCTAAGTCGAATGTCTTTAACCCTCGGCATTTGATTCTCTTTATGCGAGCCCCTTGTCCCCACCGCTCTTTTGTTTTAGCTATAACATGCCCCTCCTTTATTAGCCAATTCCTAACCATCACTCACTTTTAATTCTGTCGTAGATAATGATATCACTTGTTACCCTAGTTTCAAGAATAAGCCCAAACCTCCCATCATAAGCAGCCAAGGTTTGGGATCCTTTCCTTTTCATTTTCATTCCTCCCATAGCATTTAATGTCGGTCGCTAGCGGGATAACAGTAAAGGGCAAGTCTTTACGGTACCGTTTGGTAAAGGGTTAAGTGAGGGGTTAAGGAGACTTAACCCCTTCTTAACCTGCCAAACACAACAAATCTATATAAGGGTTAAAGTGAGTTAACCCTCCATAATTACGGTCAAGATGCAGTAGGAGGTTGCAATTAATGGAAATATCAGATTGCTGATGGGAATGGCATGAACATTGAACCTGTAACTTGAACTTAATTCTCAAACAAAAATCTGAGCAATACTACATATGTTGATATTCTGTTTGTCAATGCTCGTCTATGTGTCTTAGAAAGAAGAGGTCGGGCTAGGACCACAACAAGAAGGCCGGAACCATGAATATCCCGATTCGAACTAGTGCCATAATGTTGAATGCTCCATTCACTCTCAATTTAGATTGAGATTATTACCTATACAACCCCCTTAACATTTAGAGAAAGAATGTGCTTCATGCTCAATGGAGGTGGATGATGGATCCAACGATATTTAGGAAGCAACCAAGAAAGGATAGGAATGACATTTTAGGATTAATAAAAAGTAGAACAAAATGGTCAGATTGGTATATTTTGTAGACATTAGGTGACAGATTGGTATAAACTTTTTAACTTTAGTCAAATTGGTATATTATATAGCCTCCGGCGCCATATACCCCTTAAGTTTGGCCGGATTGATTTTTTCGGCCAGTTTTCTCACGCGACGGCTCACGTGATGCCCAGCTGGCTGGATTTTTTTACACAAAAACCCCTGATCAAATAACTCATCCTGCTCCTACCCCCCTCTTCCTCCTCCTCCTCTCCCTCCCTCCTCCTCCTCCTCTTCAACCTCTCCCCATCACCCATGCCCACCAGCTCACCAAGACCCTCCATCTGATTACCACAGATTCCACATACCTCTTCGTTCCTCCCTATCTGATCCCCAAACACATCTGAGTATGAGTTCTTCTCATTCTCAAGATGTCCCCTTTTGTTCCGGTGATAAGATAAGCTATCCTCGGCAGCTCCGATTCCAAAACTGGTTTCTCATCCAAAGACTTCATAGGGTTTGAATCCAATGCATACCCATCAGAATCATCCAAACCAGTGAATGAAATTATATCCAACGACAATGAATCTCCATTGGACTGAGGTGAGAAAAGCCCAAAAACTGTGACTAAGAAGAGGGTTAGAGATACCATTAAGCTGGCAAAGAAGGGGAGGAGCCATCTTTTGTCACTAAATGGTCTCCCTGAGTGATTTCCCCCATTTCCCCTCATAATTCTTCGATACCCAGATTCAAATAAATCAATTACAACATTACCTCTTGAAAAGCTAACACCAAAAACTAAACACGGAGACCAATTTCGGCTATAATCTTTGAACTCAGACGCCAAAATCTTAACTTTAGCAAGCAGAAATGAACAAAATCACTTCAGATGATAGTTATGCTTCATGGGTCAGACGAAATCAGGGCAAAAACTCAAAAATTCAAGGCGCCCCCTCCTCCACCACCACTGCCGCAAAGTCCACCTCCTCCTTCTCCTTCCCTTTATCCACCCCAAAATTTATCAATCCCCATCGATCCAAGAACCTAAACACCTTCTCTATCGACCCTACATCTCCAATCAGAGATTTCCTCACCTCAGTAAACATCAGTCTTCGAGACGGCTCCTCACGAAATCTATTGATGATGAAGTCTTGGTACTCCTTGTAAACCCTAGGGTTCCTCGAATACGAGCTCCCGTCGAAGAATTTAGGAAGGGATCTGCGCTCTGTCTCATGGATCAAGTCCCAGCTGAACCAACCTAATCGAAATTAGGAAAAAATTAGGAATTCAAAACCCTAACCCTAGGAGGGAGGGAGGGAGGGAGGGAGGGAGAGAGAGAGAGGAGGAGGGGGAGGGGTTAGGAGCAACATGAGTTATTTGATTAGGGGGTTTTGTGCAAAAAACCCCGCCAGCTCGACATCACGTGAGTCGTCACGTGGGAAAACTGGTCGGAAAAATCAATCCGACCAGACTTAAGGGGTATATGACGCCAAAGTCTACAAAATATACGAATTTGTCAAAAGTAAAAAAAATATACCAGTATGTCACCGAGTGTCTACAAAATATATCAATTTAACAATTTTGCCTAAAAAAGTAGTGATAAAAAAAAAGGATATACGATGATGACAAGAAAATAATGCAAATGTTAATCTTTTGGACCCCCTTCTCCATAAATAGCCTTTGCGAGACCTCCAGTAATAAGAAACAATTCCATACCTCCTACTTCCCCGAAACCACGAACCGGGGAAAAAAATAAAAAAAAACCCAATTTGCCCCTCTCTATCGAAACCCTAACCATCAGAATTCAACCCAAACCCTAACCCTAGCCCCTCGACCCGATCTTCTCATCGCACTTGGGCGTAACCCTAACCCTAGATCGACGCTACGATGTCGTCTACGTCAGGGCAGCAGCAGTTTCGCTACACGCAGACGCCATCGAAGGTGCTTCACCTGAGGAATCTGCCATGGGAGTGCACCGATGAGGAGCTCGTCGAGCTCTGCAAGCCATTCGGAAAGATCGTGAACACCAAGTGCAATGTTGGGGCAAATCGCAATCAGGCCTTCGTTGAGTTTGTAAGGGATTACTTGATTTTCATTTCGTAGGTTGCGTTCTGTTTTCTCGGATGAATTTAATTAAAAAATTAGGTGTCTTTGTTGCGCTGCAAAATCGAAGAATTGTTATTATTATTGACACTGCTGCTTGCTTGAATTAATTGGCGATGGTTCTTGGGCCTGGAGAAGTTTTTATGCTTCTTCTTGATTTAACCCTGGGTATTAAAAATTTAGTTTATTATTATATCATTGAAAGTGTAGTTTGATGTTAAGTAAATAGATATAACAACATTGCCCCATTCCTTATTTTTCCAGTCTTAAGATTTCCCCCCCAACCAAACACCATATTTTGCGCACTTGTAAAGGGAAAAAAAGTTCTTTTACTCTTCCAGATCAACTTTCAGTTTTCCAAACACCCTATTAACCAAGCAATCTGAGTGGTTTTGTATTATTCTTCAGTACCGGTTGGTATGAAAGAAGAAAATTTGATGATTGGGTCTAACTATGTCTGTTTTATGTTTGTGCATAGGTTGCATTTTTAGCAATGCTGTTATAATTTTGATATCTAAATTGATTCCCTCAAATTATTTTTGTGTCCTAATATGAAATTCCCAATCAACAATTTTATGTGGTAATGCGTGACTGATTTCTTGCTTTTAGTTACATCAAGTCGATATTAAGCGCAGCTTAGAAATTAGTTAACTGAGGCTAAAATCTACATTTAAAAAGGAAAAACTTAGATGTGATGATAGATTATTAGTTTTAGTTATTTGATTTTGTTTCATTTGTTCCAGTCCGACCTTAACCAAGCAATCTCAATGGTTTCATACTACGCTTCATCATCTGAGCCTGCACAAGTCCGTGGCAAAACCGTGTATATACAATACTCAAATCGACAAGAGATTGTGAACAATAAGAGTACTGGTGATATTGCTGGGAATGTTTTGCTTATTACTATTGAGGGTGTTGAAGCTGGTGACGTCAGCATAGATGTCATTCATCTGGTAAGCTTGTTCCTTGTTAAATTTGTTTCAACTCATAGTGCTCTATACAAATTTCATATCGAGTAACTGTATTTATTGAGGTCAAATGGCCTTCACAGCTAAGCTGAATAGCATGACGAGATTTTTTGCCAACACAATATTTCTAGATCAGAGCTGATCTTACTTTATACCTCAACATCTTGTAACATGCTCTGCATGGATCAGCAGGTCCATGTTAACTCGGAGAAATTCTCGATGTCAGCATTCTGCATTCGGAGAGATACCATGTGTGTTTTGCTATCTCATACTTTTGATAGCTCAACTTTGAGCTTTTGAACTTTAATCGTGAATAATGGTACCTTCTAACCATTCTTGACCATCTTACTTAATTTAAGTTGTAGGATACCATCCTTGTGTGGGAGCTATTTTTGAGGTTAAACTTCTAATCCTTAGGTTATGTAAGCTTTGTTGATTCAATTTTTGTTTCTGATGCAACTATTTTTTTAAAGTCAGTGTAGGATCTATTTCGTGTTTCATTATATTTACTTTTTTCTTCTCCTAAATTTAAATTCATTCTTTCAATTGTTATTTTGGTCTTCAGACACCATTTTTTGTTTTTTTAAAGCAATGAATTTTGTATGCTTGTTCTGTTCTTTTACTTCTCAATGTTCTCATTAAAATCTGCTTTGTTGAAGGCGGTGAGTAAATATGCTCCTGTGAATCATGTCATTTTTGTAACTATATATTGCACCATCTGTCATGGTGCTACCGGAGTTTAGATGATTGCAATGCTCTTATCTTCAGGTGCCATCTTGCACTTATAGAGAATTCTGTTAAAGTTCCAGGAGTTTGATGTTAGCTACGGGTTACCACACTATTTAGTTTCATTAATTATTTCATGAATACCTAACTCCCAACTTTCTTTCAGGTTTTCTCTGCATTTGGATTTGTTCACAAAATTGCAACCTTCGAAAAGGCTGCGGGATTTCAGGTTATTCACATTTATATGTTCTAAGAAAATTTATTGTAGCAATTGTAAAAGGCTAACTCATTTTAAACTATGTAAATATACAGGCATTAATCCAGTTCACTGACGCAGCGACTGCACAATCGGCCAGAGATGCCCTAGACGGAAGAAGTATACCGAGGTTACTTTTTCTATTGTTGAAGGCATAAATCTTAATGTTTTTATTGAAAAATTTTCACTCATTTTGTTGTTGTTTTTTATTTAAAAAATACCAGATACTTGCTTCCTGAGCATGTTACCTCGTGCCATTTGCGAATTTCATACTCTGCTCACACTGATTTAAACATAAAGTTTCAGTCGCATCGCAGCAGGTATGTATTTAATGATTCTACTAGCATCTATAAAGGTCTGAATTTCTTTTTCGCTTTTCACCTCATTTTTCTGTTTAGCCTATCAAAACACAATTTTAACCTAGATGTCATATCTTTAGCTGATTATTTTCACGCTTTCTCATATAGGAATTAGAGAGCAAGCTGCAAAGATTACCGATATCTTTTATGTAGTGTAAATTCCCTCATCTCATGATACTGATTGGTCATATTTGTTGAGTGCAATGTTAGATGAAAAGTAGACCTTTTTACATAATTAGAGAACATTAATATTGAAAGATACTTCTGCGTTTACAATAGCTTGTTTAATCTACTTGAGGTGATGATATGTAGTTATGACTAAATAATCCCAAAGTGTGCAATTGTATCTATTTTTTTAATAAGAGTATATTTTTCAAGTCTGAAACACTGAAAATATTGTGTTTTATTGGCTCCATGTTTTTTTTCCCTTTCTTGTCTGTACTTGAAGCTCACTGGACTTCTGCCTCTGGTTGCGTGATAACTCAATTTAAATTATATATTCTTAGTGCGGTTTCTGGTGTATGTACTGAAGGAAATCGTGCTATGTCTACATGCATAATACACAGCGGAAGACATGTATGTACAAAAATACTAAGCATGTAGAGAGCATGAAATATTCATATGGATCGTCTAATTAAATCTAACATGATCCTTATTATTAAGTGAGCATACAAGAGTTAGAAAATCATACTTTCGTAGCGTGATTCGATGGAAGATCGAATAACCCCTAGCTCTTGCTCCTTGTAGTAGAAAATCTCCTTGTAGTGGATCTCCAAGTCTTCAAGTGAGCTTGATAAAATGGGAGTCTTCTTAAGACACAAGGCAAGATATCCACCCCGGGGTTCTTAAAATCCTACTACTTCCTCTTGCTCAAAGATTGCTAAAGTTTAGTAAGACGAGAGCTCTCTTTTATTCTCTTATGAAAAAAACACTTAGCCAATTTTTCATTAACCTTTCCATAAGAAAAAAGAGCTCATATTTATAGAGTGAAATGTGTTCATGATATGAATGACTCATCCTATGAGTCATGCAATGAATCATCAAAAATTAATGATTAATCAAGTGAGTCATGCAATGAATCATCTTATGAATCATTATATTTCAAAACCATGTGCTAATAAACCATGTGCTCAAACCATACCACTAAGTGACTCATCTCATGACTCATTATACATGGTATGTGTATTTCATAAATGAGAATACCAAATTATTATCACTAATACAGTATTTCATAAATACGGTATATAGTATTATTCCAATCTTTAACTAATTAGTCACTATATGACCAAATAAATCAAGAGTTGACCAAAAGTCAACTGTTGACCAAAAAGTCAACTAGTTGACTAAAAGTTAACTTTATGGGAAAAATACTGGAATTCATTTCCTAAGCACATAGCATTCCGATTTTACCGATATACATAACCGTTTATGTGTATCCGGAAGAAATCATATATGCGTATCAATCATACGCATCACTCCATAAATTGTGTTTCATAGGATTCAAGTACGCGCTTGGTGTGACTCTAGGGCCCAACTTAAAAAACTCGGTAGTGGATCATATCCATAAGTACAACAGAGGTGCTAGCTACACATGAAGACCACCCGGGTATAAGTTGTGATAAAGGTCTGCAAGATGCTTATCCAATTTTATCAGGACCACTCAATGATAATACCGTACAGTCCGGTCTCTTCGTCAAACCATGTCAAACTATTGAGCCTAGGGTATGGCAAACTGTCAAACCCTAATAGCTTGATTAGTGTTTATTGATATTAAACTCATAACCTATAAGATCAAACTGACACTCAGTTTATCTTATTCACCTTGGCCAAGGATTTCCAGACTATAGTTATATCAAACAATCTTATGACATCAACCCCTATACTGGGAGAGACGAATCCCTTCTTGGCATCTCAATATCTACTTATGTCTCGGGATGTACCCAACAAGAACCGTTATGCACAATTCAATAAGAACTGTGGTTAGGTAAAAGTCTAAATACATCTTTACTGACATATAAGATATTGCACTCATGCCTCAGGTCAAGAGACTACTATGTACTATATCACTTGAGAACTTCTATTTGACAGTTAAGTATATTACCAACTAGATGTTCTCGACGAGTCGTTCAGTCAACTCATTCACTAATGAGTCACCTGTATACTGTATCTTGATGTCTCACATCAATGATCTAAGAGATTGATCATCTCCTTCAAAAGGAGAAATAAAGTATACACTAGTCTAAACAAAAGTGATGATGTCCTATCTCAACACTTCATCAACTAGGAACATTTTAGAATATACGTTACCGACTAATCAGATCTCTTCATTACGATCACTATCCGAAATGTCTGATAGTCTAGTATTTATTCTAAGGACATTATCTGTATATTTAGAACATCAGATAAATCTGACCAAAATAGCATACTATCATTTCGAACAAGGATGTTATATACATATAGGTCCTGTTACAATATACAATAATTGCCTGCAGGGCACCTATATCTAACATGTACTCCTGAAATGAGACTCATTATTGTCTTTTATGTAGTGTTACTTCTATTTGCTCAAATTCTCTGACTCTTATGACTTGTGTAGTGTTGAAGGACCTGATGTACCTGAATTGTTAGTTTTATTTTTATATTTTTATATTTTTTATTTTTGCCGAGCATGCCCACTGCTATGCCATGGAGGATTATGCTTATATACCCTTTGCATGTTATCCACTTTCCACTTGTCTCCCTTATCATCGCATTATTCGTGCTTATTAACATGGATGGGGAGAGGGGTATACTGAGAATTTGGATTGTGTATAACCTAAAAGATATCATGTCATCGAAGAAGGCTCTGTTTTTTTTTCCATCATCATGTTAGTTGAAGTCATTAAGCATCGGTTTGCCAAATTAAGTGGGTCATTTATGGAGCACAGGACTCCATGAAAAACCAAACCAAATTTATTAACCGTACTGACCAGAAGACTATAAAAGATCAACCAAATCTACGGACCACTCTCAACCTATCATCAATCTTCTAAATTAGCGCGTAGGCATGAAAATTGTTAATCTAGGTTACCCGCCCACTTCATCTAGGTTCCGGCATCCAGTCTGAGATTTCCCATAGCCGTGTCCCGTGTTCAACACTCCTTGGACACTTCTTGAATATATACATACATTTATCCAGACTTGTACTTAATTATATAACCTTGTAGTTTAAAAAACTTGTGGGACGCACTTCTTCGAAATATATGTTCACCTCAAATTTATGCAACTCGTTGAGTTGTTGGAGCGCTTGTTTTAGCATATACCTAGTTCATAAGTATTAAAGGGTCATTGGAGTATCTAGTTAAAAAAAAAGCTGTTTTTCAATTTGTAAATTGTAATCTACTCAATAAGAGATATATGAAAATTGTAGAGGGATTTTAGTTTTCATAACATGTGAACAAAAAATATTATCAATCTCATATAGATTAGCTTAATTTATTATTTATCTATATAGCTGTCTCCCTGTATCCCACCTTCTACAATTTTCTGTGTCCCATATTCGCACTCGTGTCCATGTCCTCACCCTCACCCGTAGCCATGCAACATAGTTGTGAACAAAGATGGGGTGTTATATTATTCTGTTACAATTTTAATGGCTGTTGGTCTGTAGGAGAAGCTACATGCACACATGCTACTAATAAGAAGCAACACTTTGAATTTCTGCCATGTTTTTTGTCTATTGCTCTAAAAATTTGTGAATGGTAGAACTAGTTCTGTGCTTCCCTCCATTTCTGGTTTAATTTACTCAAACGTTCCTTTGTGTTTGTTTTTCTCTGAACTCTGAAGTCTTTATTACTGTATGACGGGGTTCTGATTGTCATGGACACAGTTTCTAAGGAACCTTCAGTAAAATGTGTTCGAACAACAAATTGGCGGTTGCCTGTAATTATGTAAAAACTGCTATCTGTTAGCTGATATAGGGGGAAGGTGATGAATTATGTTTTTTCGGCTAATTTTTTATGCCTTGTGAAATCCTGATCCTCTTTTTTTTAATTCTTCTGCATCTTCTATGCAGGCTTATGCTCTATGTTATTACTGAAAGACATGATTTCTGCTGACCGTTTTATTATACATCTTATTAAAGGATTCCATCACTCAACATGTTCATAACTTGTTATTTGAGTTATAGTTCCTTTTCTTGAGAGGATTAAAGTTCCTTGTTGAAACTTCATTTACTTCAAAGACTCCTAACATGGAATACTCTATTATTTTATTGGTTTTTGTTTTAATGAGCTCTGTTATTTAACTTTTCTTCTGTTCCCTGTGAAATGGTTTCCAAGTAGAATTGATATTACATCATACTTGCGCAAGTATTTGTAAATGGAAATTGTTATGTTTGCAATTAAATGTTTTTTTCATCCTTTTGCAGGGATTACACGAACCCTTACCTTCCCGTAAACCCTTCTGCAATTGAGGGGACCTTGCAGGTTTGATTTTTGGATAACTGAATCATCTTCTCCCTGTTATTTCATCATGGCTTAAATTACTCTTTTTGCTCCCAGCCTACTCTAGGTCCTGATGGAAAGAAAAAAGAGCCTGAGAGTAATGTGCTTCTTGCTTCGATAGAAAATATGCAATATGCTGTAACTGTAGATGTCATCCACACTGTAAGAGTTTTTTTTCCTTCTTTTCTTGGTTCTAGTTTTATCTCTCAAAGCATAGCTGAATGCCTATCATGGCCTTTGATTCCAGGTTTTTTCAGCATTTGGTACTGTCCAGAAAATTGCAATATTTGAGAAGAATGGGGGAATGCAGGCATTGATTCAATATCCTGGTGAGCAAACATTTCTCTTTCACAAATATTTTTCGTTTTCTTCTCCTTTTTTTCCATTGAGATTCACATTGTAAGTAACCATACTTAGTAAGTTTCTCTCTTCTTCTTCTGCCTGGAATTGAGTCATATTTCACATTCATTTCATTTGTTATTGTTTTAGTGTCATTTAATATCGACAGCAGCTGCATGTTGTCCTTGACTGAGAGCATCTCTTCTTTATAATTGTCTCTGCATATTTTTACCTTCTAATCGATTTCTATTTCTTTTGTGTTTAATATGTTTCCCGCTTATATAAAACCATCCCTATTGTATGGGCTTGCCAGCAATTAGATTTATATATCAACTATAATTACAGATCTACTTCCTATTCTGTCTCAACATAATGTATATAGTTTATATACAATGTATATGTGTCTGTAGGCACATATGTACATATGTGTGTATAGTTAGGTATTTATTATGCATGGCCTTCTGCGTTATTGTTCATGTGCAACTCCATATTTCTTCTAACTAGGATCTAGCTATATCTTTTTTTTGTTTATTTAAAGCTACCAAAAACAATTTATTGTGTTTCTTAGTGGTTGGTTTTGTATCTTGTACACTCCATTAGAGCATGTGAATGTATAACTGTTTTGGTGATGATTAACGGTTATACATGTGTAGGAATTCTTTCTGCTATAATTCATTATCAACATAGCTATTATGGTTTTTTAGTGTTCTAATCTGTGTAAGCAACTTTTGTCGGCTTTATTGTTGCGCTTTATGCTTGTAGGATAAAGATTATATATTATGGTGAACAAGTTAATGCTTCCCATGAGCTTACATTTGAAACCTTATGCTATTCCAGATGTGACTACTGCAGCAGTTGCTAAAGAAGCTCTAGAGGGACACTGCATATATGATGGTGGCTACTGTAAGCTTCATCTGTCATACTCTCGTCATACTGATCTCAATGTAAAGGTACAAAAATTAATTTAAATTACCATGAAATAAATACAAGCATAAAATTTTTTAAGCCGGAGATACACCCGTAATAAAAGGGAAAACAATAAAGTTAGGGCACTACTCTTCAATAAATGTAACGATTGACCATCATCATAGATTTCCTCAGATCAATGTATGTTTCTTAACACTGTATATTCACTCTGCATATTACTCTTTCTTGATACACGCGATACGTCTGTTTTCAGGCACATAGCGATAAAAGCAGAGACTATACAATCCCTGACGTGGGTCTTCTCTCAATGCCTCAAGCTCCTGTCATCCCAACAGCTGCCTCTAATTGGCAGGCGAATCCACAATCTTCATCAATGTTCACCGGTAATTTAGGGCAACAATCTCATCCCAATAGCCAAATGCCGGCTTGGGACCCGGGCATGCAAGGTGTTACGCCAGGGTATCCCCCAGCATCAGGTCCATATCCAGGCCAAGCTTATGTGCCACCATCATCATCTATGCATATGTACCCGGTTTCTGGTGCTCCTCCCTCCGCTTTATCTGATCCCCATCAAGCTTCTTCCCAATTTAATGCACGCCCTGCTGGTGGTTCTCCACCGGTTATATGCTGTAACTGTAGATGTCATCCACACTGTAAGAGTTTTTTTTCCTTCTTTTCTTGGTTCTAGTTTTATCTCTCAAAGCATAGCTGAATGCCTATCATGGCCTTTGATTCCAGGTTTTTTCAGCATTTGGTACTGTCCAGAAAATTGCAATATTTGAGAAGAATGGGGGAATGCAGGCATTGATTCAATATCCTGGTGAGCAAACATTTCTCTTTCACAAATATTTTTCGTTTTCTTCTCCTTTTTTTCCATTGAGATTCACATTGTAAGTAACCATACTTAGTAAGTTTCTCTCTTCTTCTTCTGCCTGGAATTGAGTCATATTTCACATTCATTTCATTTGTTATTGTTTTAGTGTCATTTAATATCGACAGCAGCTGCATGTTGTCCTTGACTGAGAGCATCTCTTCTTTATAATTGTCTCTGCATATTTTTACCTTCTAATCGATTTCTATTTCTTTTGTGTTTAATATGTTTCCCGCTTATATAAAACCATCCCTATTGTATGGGCTTGCCAGCAATTAGATTTATATATCAACTATAATTACAGATCTACTTCCTATTCTGTCTCAACATAATGTATATAGTTTATATACAATGTATATGTGTCTGTAGGCACATATGTACATATGTGTGTATAGTTAGGTATTTATTATGCATGGCCTTCTGCGTTATTGTTCATGTGCAACTCCATATTTCTTCTAACTAGGATCTAGCTATATCTTTTTTTTGTTTATTTAAAGCTACCAAAAACAATTTATTGTGTTTCTTAGTGGTTGGTTTTGTATCTTGTACACTCCATTAGAGCATGTGAATGTATAACTGTTTTGGTGATGATTAACGGTTATACATGTGTAGGAATTCTTTCTGCTATAATTCATTATCAACATAGCTATTATGGTTTTTTAGTGTTCTAATCTGTGTAAGCAACTTTTGTCGGCTTTATTGTTGCGCTTTATGCTTGTAGGATAAAGATTATATATTATGGTGAACAAGTTAATGCTTCCCATGAGCTTACATTTGAAACCTTATGCTATTCCAGATGTGACTACTGCAGCAGTTGCTAAAGAAGCTCTAGAGGGACACTGCATATATGATGGTGGCTACTGTAAGCTTCATCTGTCATACTCTCGTCATACTGATCTCAATGTAAAGGTACAAAAATTAATTTAAATTACCATGAAATAAATACAAGCATAAAATTTTTTAAGCCGGAGATACACCCGTAATAAAAGGGAAAACAATAAAGTTAGGGCACTACTCTTCAATAAATGTAACGATTGACCATCATCATAGATTTCCTCAGATCAATGTATGTTTCTTAACACTGTATATTCACTCTGCATATTACTCTTTCTTGATACACGCGATACGTCTGTTTTCAGGCACATAGCGATAAAAGCAGAGACTATACAATCCCTGACGTGGGTCTTCTCTCAATGCCTCAAGCTCCTGTCATCCCAACAGCTGCCTCTAATTGGCAGGCGAATCCACAATCTTCATCAATGTTCACCGGTAATTTAGGGCAACAATCTCATCCCAATAGCCAAATGCCGGCTTGGGACCCGGGCATGCAAGGTGTTACGCCAGGGTATCCCCCAGCATCAGGTCCATATCCAGGCCAAGCTTATGTGCCACCATCATCATCTATGCATATGTACCCGGTTTCTGGTGCTCCTCCCTCCGCTTTATCTGATCCCCATCAAGCTTCTTCCCAATTTAATGCACGCCCTGCTGGTGGTTCTCCACCGGTTATAGGGCAGCCACCGATGTATTATCAGCAGTGAGCTGAGCGTTAAGATTTTGTCTTGATACTCTTGCTGCTTGCAGCTGTTAAGAGAGAAATTTTTACCTTTAATTGTGGATTTGTGTAAGTTGGTATCTTTATGGCTATTTTCATGGAGGCATGCTCAAACAACGCTGCCTTAGTTTCACTTATTTTTTGTTTTGAGTGTTAGCTATCATCACCTCTCGGTGTTTTTTATTATCCTGTTTCCTCTTCTCTTGTAGTACTATTGTTGGATTATTTCCCCCCCCCTTTTGTGGTTATGAAGTTTCTTGATTTGTTCTTCCCCCCTTAATTCTTGATTTTGTCTCTGAGTTGCTCAGGTGCAGCTGCTCAAAAAGCTAGTGAAATCTCTTGTAAAGTGCAATCCTACTCCGGCCTTGTTAATCGATGCTCGATTCTTGTAGTGCTGGTTACTGATGATTCAGGTCGTGATCGGTATCGGGATGTTCCGTTTCCGATCTAAGGGCCATCGGTGTTCATACTGAAGAATTACATGACTTCATAAGGCTTGGAATCCTATGCTTTAAATGCTAGCATTTATGTGGCTATACTCAGAAAGCTGAGCTTGAATTTTCGTATGTACCGATAGTGGGAAATAATTATCATACGAATTGTGCCAGCTACCAATTTGGAGGCCACATTAGTCCCATGTATATTACTTAAGAGACCCCTATTTTCTATTGCGATTGGCTTCACTTTTAAAAAGCAGTGGAGGGACTAATTTTTATTATTTATTTATTACGATCGTCTATTAAATTAACCGATTGTTGTGATTTTTTTATCTCAAAGTAAAAAATATGAATTGAGTATCGGGCACATGGTGAACGTTAAAATTTAGAAAGAATCCCATCGTTTGCGTTTGCTACGTTGTTGGCAGCGTCCGGTGTCCAAACCCAATCGTTTGCTTTTTGGACAAATTTTCAAAACCGACCCATTTGGGTTTTTAATTGCAAAAAACAGCCCATTTTAATTTTAATTATAAAAACCGACCCAGTTGGTTAAAACTGGGTCGGTTTTTGAAATTTTTTTCCTAAACTTCACGGGAGTTGTTATAAGAAAAAACTTCACGGGAGTTCAACTCCCGTGAAGTTTCCCGAAAATTTTTAAAAAAACCAACCTGTTTTCAGCCCCTGGCTGAAAACAGATCGGTTTTTATAAATATTTTCAAAACCGGTCGTTTTTTGCAATTAAAAACCCAAATGGGTCGGTTTTGAAAATTTGTCCTTTGCTTTTTCCTTGAAAATCGTTGGTTTCATGCAATTCTACCCCGTTGCGGTAGCCCATCAAGAAAGGCCTACCTTCTCGACCAAACCCAATAAATATGCCGGATTTGTATCCGGATCTTATCAAGATCCGACCCATTATCGGCTAAAACCGGGTCGTTAAGGCCGTTAACACCAGCGAGCTGTGAGGTCTCCCCTTGTTCCCGCCATTTCTTAAGGATCTCTAACCGTCGGATCCTGATCACTATATAGGTTCTCAACCGAGAGCAAATTCAATAATCTTTTAACTCGGAAGAAAAAGACAGAAGCTCCTCCTTCTGAAGGTGAAAAAGATTTTTTTTTTTTTAAACTCATCTGATTAAGTTGAACTTGTCCATTCTCTTATGGATCTAATTTTTCGTAGTTTTTGTGGCATTATTTGTGTCGATTATCTTTATGTTTATTCAATGTAATCGGATAGCTTGCATCACTATATGATATTGTAACTTTATGGGTTTCCAAGGTTTTATTTAGTAATTTACTGAATTATAGTCGAGTTATTAGTATTTATGTAAGACAAAAGGTTTCCAAGGTTTTATTTAGTAATTTACTGAATTATAGTCGAGTTATTAGTATTTATGTAAGACAAAACCATTTCTCAAAGAAATCCTTCAACATTTTTTGATTTACATGCCTGAAGTTATCCATACTCTGATTTGCTTCTGATATTTTGGACTAAGACCTTGAAAGAGAGAACATTCAAAAGTTTTCTCAGAGTATGAGTTTCTATATTTCCCCCCCTCTATTAAGTAACTTTTTATTACGCGATTCGCAGAAAAAAATGAGTGAAGAAACTGAAGCTAATTCATCTGAGCGACGATCAGCTCCACGTCTCAACCAGAGGATTCTTTCATCGTTATCGAGGAGATCCGTAGCTGCTCATCCTTGGCATGATCTTGAGATAGGTAACTTCCTCAATTCACTTGAAACAATTTCTCATTGAGTTTTTGATCTCAAACAATTTATTGAAAATGGTTTCACATGTAACTCCTTGTGCAGGTCCAGATGCTCCTGCAATTTTTAATGTTGTAAGTATCTTCGGTATATAAGACTGAATTTAAAAAGGAAGTAGTTTTAGGTTGTATATAATGTCATAATAAGAATATCAGATTCATTACTTCTACCTTCATATTTTTTTCCCCTTTCGCTTTATATTTTCTATATCCATTTGGTGTAGGTTGTGGAAATAACGAAAGGGAGTAAGGTTAAATATGAACTTGACAAGAAAACAGGATTGATCAAGGTTTGTGAAATTTATGTCTAACCGGTTTGCTTTAATTTAGACATTATAACTAAGGATTGATCGCTTCAGGTTATTGCAAGTTTTTTGATGATTATTTATTTTCTAAGTCCTAATTTTACAATACTTTGTAGGTTGATCGAGTTTTATATTCATCTGTTGTGTATCCTCATAATTATGGTTTCATTCCTCGTACACTTTGCGAAGACAATGACCCCATGGATGTGTTGGTCCTCATGCAGGTATACATAGTTTTTATTCTTTCCTAGTAAAAAATTATTATGGTAATATATTGCCATTATATTCATGATTTTTCGAGTAGTTTGGTTGACAAATGAAAAGTTTTGATTGTTTTCGAAATTAATCTTATATCAGGAACCAGTTCTTCCAGGCTGCTTCCTTCGAGCAAGAGCCATTGGGCTTATGCCTATGATTGATCAGGTATTTCCTTATTAGCCCTGCAGTTTCATTTTGGCAGATAAGACCTTCGGGGTGAAACTTTTTTGACTCAATAATTTCACTCAAGGGCAATGCCTGCCGAAATTTCACCAAGGGTAAAAGAGTCAAACGACGATGCTATAGGGGGTGTATATGCAATTGACGCTATGTGAAACTTACAAATAAATGTATATCAAGATATGAGCAAAGTCTCCAATTTTTGTTTTTTGGGTTTTAAGGATAATTTGATAGATAATGTTGCTGATTCCGTTAATAGGGGGAAGGAGATGACAAGATTATTGCCGTCTGTGCTGATGATCCTGAGTATCGCCACTTCAACGATATAAAAGAGCTTTCTCCTCATCGTCTTGCTGAGATCAAACGCTTCTTTGAAGATTGTATCCTTCTTCATTTATGTTTATATAAGCTTTTTAAACTATTAGATGTTGCGCATATCGATTATTGGTAAATGTCAGTCCTTAATTTAAATATACAGACAAGAAGAATGAACACAAAGAAGTTGTGTGCAATGACTTCTTACCTGCACCTAAAGCTGTTGATGCCATTCAGTACTCAATGTAAGTTGGTTCCGATTGAAGTCAAATTTTCTCTAAATTTTCCAATATTTCTTTTGCATCATCATCAAATCATCAAGTTATGCATGAAACAGTGGTTAATGCTCTTGCTGTCTCATGTTTATTTCTCTAATGTATAAATTCGTGGAATATTTACGCATCCAAATGATTTCTGATATTGGTCTGAATCTGCACATCTATTGCTGATCCGTTATGGATACATACACAAATACATACGATTACAAATTTGCACCTTCACCACATTGAAAATAGTAAAATCTCTAGTTATTTCTTTTACTATTCTCTCTTCGTATGTACATGATATGCGCATAATCTTTGTTATCTTCTGAACATGTTTCTATTTTCCATGGAATCGCAGGGATCTTTATGCTGAATATATCATGCATACCTTGAGGCAATAGACGAGTTCAGGCTGTTTTCTTTCCCAATAATTTGCTCGATAACCTTCAGGCCAATGCACAGAAACTCATCTTTTGCTATGTATTTTCTTTTTTTTCATTTTTAATCAAATTGTTTACTATATTAACCTGTGACATCAGAGCGCAGAGCTGAATGCTTTAATGCATTTCTGAGTAGTCTGAAAATTTTGTAACTTGTATCGATCCTTTATTTACTAAGATGATATTTAAGTGAGTAAATTCAGAAGTGGCACAGGGATATTTGACAGTATCTCACTCACTCTCTGCATCTGTATCTGTATTTTACATTTAAGAGAAGTCCCCTTCTGGTGTTTTCCCCATATGCGTCATTGAAATACCTCACGCTAGCAAAAACGAACAAAATCCTGCTTGCTCTTGAAAAAAAAATCAAGAGAAATGCCCTTAAAATTTAAATCAATGAAAATGCCCCCACCTTGGAAAAATCAATGGAAATGCCCTCACGTTTGGAACAATTCAACTACCCAACTCCTCCATGTGCTAAATTATATGCTCCCTCAACAATTCAACTACTCCACTCCCCCATGTGTTAAATTATATGCGCACATCGTGTACACCAGAATACTAAGTCTAATAAATCTGAGGCATATCTCAAACTTTGTGAGTTGTGACCACCATTATAAACAGCCTCGGCCAGCTCTTCTAGTTTCCCATCCCTGCTTCTATAAATTCATTGGTCAAGGCCCAAATGCTGATTGGCAGGCAGAATACATGGATAAAGAAACAGGGAGGGCTGCACAGTTTACAGAAGAGCAAAGGCCTGAGGCATCCCAAAATGACATGAAGAAAGAAAACAGTCCCGTTCCTGGAGCACAAACCTTAGGTAAATGATTATATTCAATAAATGGAAACACGTGATAGATTAAGAGTACACAAGCAAATAGTTGACAAGACGTCTGTGCTGAACTTTATTCGAAAAATAATCTCGGTCCTGAATGGTGAGATGCATTGGCGTGTTTAGAGAAATTATCTTGAGACAGCTGATTGACATCTGAAACTTTCAGACTGAGACGAGCATGCATCTTCCAGCTCCTGCTCTGTCAACAGCTTGGTTGTAGGAGAAAACGATGGATCAGATGGATCAAAGATCTCTTCTGCTGAGATTTGTCTAACTGAGAAGTATCTTTCAAGAGAACTAATGGTTCTTTCGATGAAAGTTGATCTGGATGGAAGATATTCCTTCATCCGGCATAAGAATTCAACATGGTCTCTTGCCTGGAAAAATTAGTAACATTCAGGGAAATTAATTCTTCTCTTCAATATAGATCCTAAGAACCACCTTTTGTAAAATCATGGATAAAAAAATATGACAAATAATTCATCTATGCTGCACTTTGTTGAACACTGCAGCAACTAATGTCATATATTTATATGATAAGATGACACCCGATAAAGCAAATTTATTAGAGTCACTTGCGCGAAAGACGAGTTAGTGATTAGATAACGCAGAGTACATTTAGGCACTAAATGGCTTGGTTTAGTTTTTATGATTTAAGTTGAAAGAAGGTTCATCTACTAAATTGGCATTTTGATCTCTCTATTTAAGTGGCTCATAACTACACCCAGCATGTTCAATTTCTACAGCCTCTTATTTTAATCAGTAGCACAACCATTTCCTGTACTGTGAAAAGCTACAAAAGGATTTTCTATTTATCTTCTCTAGTTGCACAGTAATCATCACCCAAATTGTTGCCTCCTAAACTTTCTGCAAATTTAGAATAACAGTTTTCTTCCCTCTCATAAAATTAATATTTTTATCCAAATTTCTTAGCTGCCAACAAACCATCTAGCATTTATGCGAGCCTCATTTTACTGTTCACATCCGCAAAAAAAGGACATGAGACTCCTGCAATTAACCCAAAATAATACAATATCTCTAGTGAATGTGTGTTTAATTGAAACATAATTGTTAAACTAAGTAGATAGCTCAGACTTATAACCTGCTTATTAAGACTTAATGAGAATTGAGATAACAATATCAAGGATATAGTTAAGATAGTGTTTGTGCATGTTTCAGAAGATTCTAAGCTATTCTTTAACAAAACAGCTATTGAAGAAGACAGAGTATCATACCGATCTATATTCTGGTGCCCGCAAGGGTAATTTGAGATAACTCATATTCTTGACATCATAATCCCATAAAAATGACGTATGATGGTCCCATCGATCCTTTGTAATAGATTGGGCGTTCCCAGCGAACTTGCGAGTATCAAACACGTAATCTAAAAATGACAGTCTTGAAGTGTTTCAATTATCAAATGTTATGATTATGACAAAAATAAAGTTTAATGAGTAAAGATAACTAGTATCCACTGGAAGAAGGAAATAGTAGAACACAGCAAATTAAGTTTACACTTGCCGATAGACAATTTAAGCTTTACACAAACAAATATTAAAGTTTGACATGTAGAAACTGAAAGGTTAACTACGAAGTACATTGATGAGCATGGTATGAAAAAATTGCGGTTATATTGCATATGAAAGTCGTGAATGAAACTACTGTGGAGAAGAACACTGGTTTAGATTACTCTCAGATGTAGCATTTCTGCTTTTATGGAATTTTGTCAAGTATAAATTCAATTCTTATTAGAAAAAAATCACACTGAAACATGTAGCACATCACATATACAGTATAAGTTCACTCTATATTAGTTTAACATAGTGACAACATATGTTTAAGCATATAATGGAAATACTTAGAAACTAAAACTATAATCTTTACAAAGAAACAAAATTTTGTATCTTAGAGAAAAATCTATCTCACATACCGTTTTCACGAAGATGGAAATCACCAAATCCACGAAAAACATCGCCATACAACTGGCCTGTCCAAGACATAATAGGGCGAGGATATGGCTGCACCGCAGGAACATCATTCTTATTGCAGATAAGAGCAGTAAAAATTGTTCCACTATCGACAATCACAGTTCCTCCTCCAGNATGAAGCACAGGTTTAAGTTCAACCAGTTCCATGAGCCTCCTGATATTACAGATACCTGCCAACTGTCAATACTTTCTTACAATTTGGATTGCAGTTTGAAAAGAAATAAACAAATGCTGAAATTAAAGATGGAGATGTACCCAGATATGCCCATGACTATGGTAGGAAGAATCATTCCATCATTCACGATAAACCAATTATCTGAAGAAGTTCTGAGCAGCCTTTCCTCCAGTTGAAGAAGTTTTAGAATAGGAGTTGATTTCATGCGCACCACATTCATCAAGGGCAAACCCATATCTTTAACACGCGATATAATCATTGTTAGAATACAAAACAACAACCCTCAACCCTCACCACATTCATCAAGGGCACCCATATCACTTGTCGTACTTACGTAATTTAGGAAGAGTCATGCAGAGGGATAAAGATGAGATGAAATTTTCTCCATATTTCCAATGTCCTAAACAAACTCCCTAAAAACTTCCTTCTTTTGAGGAAAACAAATCGTCTAAAACTTGGTGGTGACATGTGAGTTTGATGTGAGATCAAAGCTACTAAAAATCCAACCTTTTTAGCATCAAGATCATGTAGATAATTGACGAGGAATTTTACAAGTTGATATATTTAGAATAACTGATTTATATGTACACTATAACAAAGTGGGATCACATCATCAAACTACCATACTAAAAGCATCTAAATTGACACTACCTATAAAATTAATAATGAAATATATTCAACTTACACTGAATTAATTTAAGATGGCCCCCAAAGGTTTTTTTTTTTTTTTTTGCCAACATTGATTGCTCCTTATCAAGACGATGCTTTCAGCAACAAATTCAAGAGGCTTTTCCATTTGACTCGAATTATAACGCCGCGTAACCTAATTTTCTTCAAGTAGACATTACACAGGAAATGAATGACTAATAAAGCTAATTTATTTCACACAAAGCTAGCCCTAATTTTGCTCAAAGTGAACCCTAAGCCCAAAGTAAACAGTCGATGAAGTGTTCAATTAAATAATCGATTGCTGGAACTGTGAATATAGAACCAAAATCAGAATACGAAATTAAATTAGAAGCAAAGCTGACCTTTTTTTTTCTAAACAGTTTTTATTCTCTTCGCGATTCTCCGCGGTTTTGTTAACGCCGTCGTCCTCGTCGTCCCGCGCGAGAGACTGCCGATTGTGGGTAGGGGGTTTAAACGCCCAAACCCGCTAAAGTTCATTAGAAACGCGTATTTTTCTCAAACCCGCGAACCCTATACGCTCCTAATGCGAACCCGACCCGGAAGTTACTTGAATTGAAAACCACATTTTTCTTTTGGGGTTTTTCAATATTAGTCCTTTGCATCTTTGATATTTTGTACTGGACCCTCAAATCACTGTTTTAGGTCCTCAAATCAAATATATACGCTGATATTAGTCCCTCTACTCCTCTAGTTACGATTTGTTAGGATGAGATGAAATATTTCATTAACTTTAACAAAACTAGTAGTTGGACTATTGTCCCCTTTCCATTATAAGCCCAAACCCACTAAGCGTATAATTTCAAACCTTTTTACTCCGTAACCCATTTTACTTAAAATACAAACCCAAAGCCATCATACAACATCTTCGTCTCTAAGCATACCGCCACGCCGCGGATGCTGTATGCTAGGGCCTTCAAGTAGGATCTCATTGGGGTTGGTTTTGGTCGCGGGCCTTTGGTTTTTGGTTGTGGGTGCTTGGATTTTGATTATGGGTGCTTGGGCCTTTGGTTTTCGTGTCCAAGTTTGTATTTTGATGGAGTTCTCTTTATGGGGTTGGGTTAATTTTGTTGACGAGCATCATCATGCCCCTGGCCACGGAGAATAGGATGGTTGATGAGATGTTGAGGGTGTCGACGGTTGATGGAGGAGAGGAGGAGCTTGTTCCGCCCAAAATAAATACTGTAGCAGCTAAAACGGGATTACTGTAGCGGGGAAAAAATATCTCATGCTTTACATGGTGTTCACACTACTATATACATATACTAGTGTACAGCCTGTGCAAAGCACGACCCCCTATTTTTTAAGCACTGCATTTGAACTTGTCTCCCTCTAAGTTTTAATACATTTAATTTAATTATTGTTTGCTTAAATTTAGAAATCATATCTACTCCTCTATATTTAAAGAAGGACCCAAGTTTTAATATATTTGATTTAGAAATCATATCTACTCCTCTATGCTTAAAGAAGGATCTAAGTTTTAATATGTTTTATTTGTTTTACTATTTGTACAATAAAACATCGTAGCATAAATAGTACAAGGGTCACTGTAGCAGAGCCAGGGATACTGTAGCAATTCAAAAAATTCAAAAAATATTGTAGCAGTTAAACCGAGATTATTGTAGCAGGGGGGATTATGTCGTGCTTTGCACGATATTCACACTAGTATATACATGTACTAGTGTAGACCCCGTGCAAAGCACGACCCCCTATTTTTTAAGCACTGCGTTTTGAACTTGTCTCCCTCTAAGTTTTAATACATTTGATTTAATTATTGTTTGTTTAAAGTTAAAAATCATATTTGTTTAAAGTTAAAAATCATACATACTCCTCTATATTTAAAGAATGATCCAAGTTTTAATATATTTGATTTAAAAATCATATCTACTCCTCTATGCTTAAAGAAGGATCTAAGTTTTAATATATTTTATTTGTTTTACTATTTATGCAGTAAAACATTGTAGCATAAATAGTAACTTCAAGCATGGAGAATTTTATTTTAATGTTTATACTACATTAAATTAATGCATGATGAACAGTAACATCGGGTGCAGATGATCGAATTTGGTTAACTTTTTATGCTACAATATTTATTGTATTATAAATAATAATTCTTGGAATTCTCCTTCAAGTAGAGAGGAGTAGATTGTTTCAGCGTGTTACGTATCATTTTACAATTATCTCTCGCTTAAGAGTGACAAAAAAATATCAACAAAATATGTGGATTCGGATCATCTCCACTTTCTAAAAAGTAGTAGAGAGACCACTACATAATCACAATCATTGATTATCTAGTTGGTGGTTGTGATTTTTCCTTTTTGGTGCAAATTAGGAATGAGTACAATATACAAGGGTATGATAAGTGTTAGATTTAGATTATATCATAATCGCCTATTAAGTAATCAACGATTGAGCTTAAAAATAGTGGCCTCTCCATTATTTTTTTTTTGTAGTGGAGAGGAACCCAATTCAAAATATATACTCATAGTACGCAAGCAAGGCTTCGTACAAAGACTACTATTAACAACAGACTCCATAAAACGTGGGGTGGGGTGTTGCAATTCAGCAAAAACTGCTCTCTAAAAGCTTGACAAATTCATCAAAATCAATCAACCCATCTCCATTCTCATCATAACCTCCAATAATCCCTTCACATCCTTCTAACCCCAATCCTTGTTTAAACCCCATCAACGCCAAAACCCTCTGCAACTCCCCTGCATCGATAAACCCATCACGGTTCTCATCGAACACAGAGAAAGCCTCTCTAGTTTCCTCCAAACTTGGCTCTCTCTCTTCAAACACCGAGCAAAAATCATCAGTGCCCATCTCCTCCTTTAGCTGCTCCCCACCTTCGCCGCAGAGCAATCCGAGACTCTCAACAACCAACTCAGCTTCTTCTCTGCTTACCCTGACGCCTCCTCCTCTGTTTTGATGCAGCTGATGAGGGTAAGTGCTAACGACCGATGGTTTCTTGAGGAAGGAGATGAAGCGGAGGTAAAAAAAAGATTGGATTTTGATGGCGGCCCAGTTGAGGATTGTGAAGAGGAAGAGGAACCCGACTGGCTCTGCCTCCATTGTTAGAGTCTGGAGATCTGGGCAATGGTGATTTTGTGAGGACAGGGAGAAAGTGAGTTGGTCTTTATACTAGAGGAAGTGGGCTGGTCTTTGTAGAGTCCCGATAGGAGAAGTCTTCAGTGAAAGCGATAGAGGAAGAAGCTGAGCTCTTGCAGGCCTCTGCTTGTCTTTATGCTAACAAATTCTTTGATAAATTAATCATCAATTATGGAGCAGACAGAAGGGTAAATACCAAGAACCCCCTGCCCACCCTCCCCCCTCTCTCTCTCAACATTGGGTGATCATTAAAAAACCACCCTCTAACTTTAAGAATATATAATAAAAAAAAACTTGAAGTGCAACGAGCATCTCAAAACTCCTAAGCAACTTCTTTCAGGTTTTATCAGAAAATCTCTTTTAACTTTGAGATTTTATCAGAAACGCTCCCTAAGTTAGGGGACTTTCTAATAAAATCTCAAACCTAAAAGGGTTTTCTGATAACCCCTAAACTTAAGGAGGGTTTTCTGATAATCGTCCAAAAAGTTAAAAGGGGTTTTTAATGATTAGAAAAATATGCATGACTATCTTTCTATACATCAATTTCTAGTCACAAGTCGGGTCAAATTCTACTTTCACGCCAACTCCAAATTCTACCGGGAGTCCAACATAAAAACATATGGTCGATCTATTCGGTAATCATCTTGTTTTAACCCCTGAGCAACTCTGCCGTCGATCTTTGTTGACTTCTAGTCTAATTAGAATTCCACTCTTTGTACTGTATTTAGTAGCGCAGATGAAAGAAGAATTATGTGATATATATCCTGTCTTCTGCAAAATCTTAGCCGCAAACTGCAAGGCAAGGAGAATGGAGTGCAGGTCCAGTCTACCGAATCTTTTAAGCACTTTAATTTCATATTGATTTCAGCATCTCAAGTAATAAAATCATCATCCTCATCTCAAATAATAACCGGGTTAATTTGAGAACACCCCCCATAACTTCAGTTACAAATAAAAGATCGGGGTTTCATCAAAGAGGTGCGTTATTCATAACTAAACTTACTGAGCAACGCACAAAAAAAAATAAAAAATAAAGATCATGTCTGTTTGTGTTCATGATTATATACGTTCCTCTCGTCGAGGGTGGAAAAAAATAAGAAAAGAACTTTAACCCTAAATTTTTTTTTTACCGTTATGTCAAACAGTAAGAAGTTAGCAACAACTAAAACAAAAATTAGAAAGTAACTTAAGGTGATTGTGCTAATGCTAGTGAAATTTACCTTTTAAACTTAGCAAATTTCAAGGATAGAAAACGAGGCTTTAGGATTTAGGAAGACATCAATCTATTTACTCTTTTCTGTTTTTATACGTAGTTGGATATTAATTACTTATTGTTTCTTTTTAATAAAGTTGTGGCGTTAATAATATATTTTGCATGCTCTTCTTCCACCCCTATATTAAGGACAGCATTCTATGAACTGGTACATTCATGTCATAATATAATAATAATCACCGATCATATATTTGCATATTTAATGATATTAATCAATTTTTGTAGATCTCCACGCAATCTATATTTTAATTCATGTTGTTCCCTAATTTTGCCTAGTGAGCTGCTTCAATATTGGCTCTTACTTGATGCTTTCACTAGTACACACGCTTTTTGTTGAGAGGAAGGCCGCAGTGTAAATTTGTTCATGCTGTCCACTGATATATTCTAATCCTTCATAGTTTGCGCTTAGCAAGTGCAATTGAACTTCACACAAACTTTATTCCATCACTCTAAATTTATAGGAAGCTTCCGGTTTGCTTACAAATTTCCTTTTTCTTTTTAAAAAGTCTTCGTTCTCTTCCTCTTCCTCTCCGTTTCCTTTTTGGGTCACCAATGACTAAGACAATGACAAAGTAAAGGAAGTTTGCCGAGAAGACTAGGCACAAAGAAAAGGCAAGAGTTAAGAGGATGCATAGAAACAAGAAGAAATATGACACGCGTGAGAGATACGTGGGAAGAGAGGTAGAGAAGAGAAGAGAAGATACCCTAGAATATAATAGATTTATAATGAATCATAATCATCTACTGGATAAATCAAGCGGCTGTTAATAAGGTAGCGCAAAGGATCCTCATTCAAAGAAAGAAGAATTCTAAGTAAATTTTTAATTATTATAATTTTTTTTAATTTTTAATTAGTAAACGAAAAAAAGGAAAAGGATAGATTGATCTCGTTATGATGTACAATTAAATTAAAATTTACAAAATATAAATAATATTTTTCAAAATATTAAAAATCTAGACTAGAAATGTAAAATCAAGAAAATAGAAAATATTAGTTAGATAAGTGATATGCCGAGAGAAATAATACGCATGTAATATATCAGTGCAATTTTTTTTTGTCTTTTACAAGTTTTTTTGGTTACCCGCGACAAACGTTTTTCATATAACAGCTATTGGGGGATTTGTGAAATAAATATTTTCTTTTTGTAAAACATACTATATTTGGAGCTAAAAAAATTCGTTCTTAAAATAAAATGACATTTTGTTTTATGTTTTAATTTCCCTTTTGCTAATCTTCAACGTTCCTTACAACCAAATTAATTGCATCATCTGTAATGATAATAATATTGCAAACATTAAACTGGCTTCAATATTTTACCCATATCCGCCTCCCATTAATTCCAACTCTTTATCTATTTCAGATAACCCGAGAAAATTAAAAAAAAAAAACCCCAAAAATGAGGCCCAACAAAAAATCATCATCTTCTTCATCTAAGCGAGCCAATCGAACCCAACCCATAAACCCAAACTCATCCCCTCGCTCCTCTCCTCGAGCCTCCGCCTCTCTCCTCGACTCCCCTCTTTCGGCCTCGGACGACGTTAAGACTCTCGATGATCTGCAGGAACAGTACACCGCCAACCCTCGTAGCTTCCCTTACAGCGTGAAGCAGCAGTGCTGGGGGAAGGCGGAGAGGGTGAAGGGCCGAGATCCCGACCGGTGGCGGCGGGACCCACTTGGGAATCTGGTGTTCAGGAAGCTCGTGGGGTGCGCTGGTTGCCTCTGCCATGATTATGATCACATTGTTCCTTTCTCTAAGGTAATGTAATTGGTCTAAAGTTGCGATTTTGATTGGTGGGTTTTGATTTTTTGGGGTTATTGTGAATTGGGTTTAGTCGCATTTTGATTGGATTGGGATAAAATGCTAGCTTTTTCAATGTTGGATATGTGATGGTGAATTTGATTTTGGTTTGTGGGGTATGCTTTTTTTCTTTTTTGGGTTTTTGTGAAGTGCGTTTATTGTGTTTTGATAGGCGGCGGATTATATTTGTAATTTACTGAAAGTTATTTTGCTAGCTTTAGATTGCAATTCTGCATCTTTAGTTTAACTTAGCCTTATTTTTGGTTAGATGAAGAAAAATGGAGCTATGTCCATGCTGGATTTGAATGAGAAGAAGGGAATTGACAAAGTGGTTTTTGTCATGCATTGAGCCTGCGTGCACGGTGGGGGCGATGTAAGCTTGGGGAGCTACTGAGTACAGCACGTTGTTTTGTTCAAACTATTGCCAAAATGACAAGTCATTCTTACACTTGTTTATCATGGCCCGCTTTATAAATCCATCCATTCTATTGTGAATTCTCGACGTGGGACAAATAAAATGGGATATCACAATCACCCTACCTCAAGTACACATGATGTGCTCATCGCGGCATAACATCAGTTCATCCCAGGATCGCCACTGTGTGATGTGAATTCTGTCCTACAGATTCTAGATGTAGCTCCCACTACTCATAGGATCTATCATTAGTCCCACAAAGCACTTAGTTCCAGACTTCTAACTAGCTAATTGCTATGATACCATTTGTCTTGCCTCAAGTTTGCATGCTCGTTGGAGTAATGCAAGCCTTGGGACCTACTGAGTGCAACATCCATACTTACGTTGATTCCCACTGTGGGAAAAATTAACGGGTTATCACAAATGTGCTTGATATAGGGAATAGCGGGTAGGAAGATGAAAATGAGACGAGAAAGGGAGCATTTCATTTTCTTTTTTCCCCTTGTGATTTGCGGAGTTAAGTATAAGCCAATAAATTCTCTAGTTAAACGTAGTCTTGAGGTTAGATTAACTGCGCTGCAGTTTACCAGCCAACATAGCTTTATAGGTGTTGAAGTATATTTGGGGAGAAAAGGATGGTTTTAATGTGATTTTGGTTTGTTGGGTCATGATTTCGTGGGGGTTTTGAGAAGAGGTTTTAGGGTATTTTAAAAGTGATGTAGGACGCTTAATCTGAGTTGGAGTCTATTTAGATTAGAAAATATAAATTAGGAAATAAATTTAATTTTAGAGTCAAATTAGATTAGGAAACAAAATCAATTTTGATTCATGATTTGTTTCCTCTATTATAAGGAGTCTTTTTTAGGATAGAATTTGACACTTTTTTTTTGTAATTCTAGTCTTACTAGGAGTCTTATTTGATACTTTCTATTTTTGTAATTCTAGTCTTACTAGGAGTCTTATTTGTTTTTCTATTTAAGAAGAGTCATGTAACCCCAAAGAAAAAATAACTTTTCATCAATAAAATTTCTCTTTTTAATATTTTCTTCGTGGATTCGAAGATCGTTCTTTGTGGATTCGGAGAACATCCTTGATGGATTCCCAGGTTATCATTTTCGCGCTGCGTCATTTGGTATCAGAATCTTGTTCCTTCGATCCAATGACAGGTCATAAAGCCCTTATTTTTTGAACTGAGTTCGACGTGCTGAAGACCGGTGTTAATCAGATGAAGACTGTTATAGAGCGACTTGCGTCGGTAGTGGAGCGTCTGAACACGAGAGGAGTTCGAAATCGCGTTGATCGTCGTCAGCGACGTGATTCGATTTCACATGATGAATTCGACAGCGATAATGACCCTAAACAAGACCTTAGAGTTGGGAAGAACACTAAAAAAGCAATAAAGAAAGAAGAATCACCTCGAGAGCACAATATTTTCCACACGAGGTGCACTGTGACGCAAAAGATTTGTGATGTTATTATTGACAATCATAGTAGAAAGAATCTTGTCTCTCGGCGTATGGTGAATAAGTTAGGTTTGAAGACAGAGAAACACCCACCTCTCTACAAGATCGACTGGATTCACAAGGGCAATGATGTGCAGAACGATGAGATGTGTCGTGTACCTTTTTCTATCGGTCACAGGTATTTTGATGATGTGTTGTGTGATGTGGTCGAGATGGATACTTGTCATATGCTTTTAGGTAGGTCATGGCAATTCGATATTGGAGCTACCCACAGAAGTAGAGACAATATTTATATCTTCAAGAAAGATGGACGTCGAATTGTCCTTCTGCCTCTTACAGAAAATAAGCCATCTAAGATAAAAGCTACTAAGGAGAAGAAACATTTGGTGGCAAATGTAGGCGTCAAAAAATGCTTACAGACATCCAAATACTACTCAAGACAAAGAAAAGGCGATAAACGCTATTCTCTTAATCAGGGGGAATCATTCAAAGGAAGTAAGACAACATGTACACACCAACAAACAGCGCTTGGTGTCGCGGCTCAGGCGCGGCAGCTCATGGTGCCGCGGCCATGGTGCGGCAGCATATTGTGCCGCGGCCATGGCGCGGCAGCATATGGTGTCGCGGCTAAGGCGCGGCAGCATATCGTGCCGCGGCTAAGGCGCGACAGCATAAGGTGCAGCGGCTATTATAGGGCGTGCTATGGTGGTTACAAGGCAGTTATATGATGATTATTTGAAGTCCACGTGGCGGCATATCAGAAAGGGAACATGTGCTGACGTGTACAAGCAGTTAAACCACGAAAAAGATGGTTAAAGGTCGTGGGAGAACGGTTTCAAGCACGATGGAACGTGCTGGTAACCGTCTCTTTGGCCGCGGCAGCCCACACTGTCGCGCCAATAGCCGCGGTAATGTCGACTGCAGCGGCCAAAGATGGTTTGTCTGGTCGGTTATTTTGCTTTCATTTCAACTGTTGTGCATTGCTACCCCTATAAATACCCCCCTAGACACGAAATAAAGGAGGGAGAGGATTTTTGGAGCAGAAAAGGTTTGAGTTTTTGGTGAATTAGAGCAAGAAAGAGAGTCTTCCTTCTTCACAAATATCCTCAAGAAGCTTTTGGTGATTCCTAGAGATCTAAGCTCAGACTTGATCTTTGGAAGAGTGAGTATCTTACATCGATAAGATACTCGCTTTAAATTCTTACTTTGATAAACGAAGGAAGAATTCCCAAAACCTTCACGATTCAATCAGAATCTGTGAATCGGTGGTCCACGGGCTAACGCACCCCCGGCACAGGCAAAGATCCCACGCAAGCAGTGATCCAAACAACGATCCTGCGTTTGTTTCTAAAAAATTATAATTTTCCTTTTGTTGTGTAAGAGAAGTCTTATAAAAAGACTATTTCTTTTGAATTTGTTATAATCGACCGAAGATATAATGAATTTCATAATGAAACCAACTTTCGACGAAAACAAACTGGCAACCACAGTGAGAGCCAATGGTCTCGCTGCCGAGACCGTCGTGTCGCAGCCGATCAAGATTCCAGTTGAATCTATGGTCGAATACGAATTCGACCAAACCAAATTTGAGGAATATCTCTCATCATCCTCTTCAAGATCTTCATTGTCTCGCAAGTACAAGAGGATCTCACCATTGAAGAAGACTTCCATGCCAAAGAAGGCACAGAATGAAGACTCTCGCCTGATTGTTGCTGAGGATTTTACTCGCAACACCTCTGCTCACAATGACTCTTATCTAGTTAAAGAGTCATCGAATCAAAGCCCACCGGCACTGACGAAGAGGGCTCGTCAGAGACAACGTCAGCGCCGTGCTCGTCAAATAGCTAAGGCCTTGGAACAAACCGACGGGGTTCGTTATCACGCGGACCTAGAGTCGAGGAGGCATCGAGTGGTTCAGTTGTCTCAACAACCAATTACTCATATCTCTACTAAACCAACGACGGATGAATGGACTTTAGTCAAGAGGGCTCGCTCAACCCTCAAAGAACGTATACAAAAGCGTCGTGCAAACGCTGCTTATGCCCGTGTTCTCTTACAACAAAGACGAGAAAGAAACAAGAAAACGGTGGCCAAAGAACCATCAAAATTCTACAAAGTTTGGATACCGAAGTCTGGAGTTGTGCAAAATCAGCATTTGGAGCCCGTTAAGACTCCGCACCCGCAAGGGAGTGGTTCTAAACGTGTGACTCCTGACATAACCTTGGATCGCTCAAAGGTAACAATAATTTATCCTGAGAATGCCAACAATATTTTACACCCTCAGAAGAAGATGTGTTCGTCAAAAGACATCGTTTTGCCTGGGAGGTCATACCAACAGACGATAGGATTTTCCGACAATCATACCGATGAATCGTACTGTCAAGCTGTGGATTTGAATAAATTTTGAAAGAGAACTATTCGAGAAATAAACTCTCATTGTTCCTGTGCGCGACTCATTAAAGCAGCATTGTTGGAATATAACTACGCCAAACGAGAAGTCATCCCGCAAAGAGTTTCAGTGTTCCAGAGGCTTTTCACCGAAATGTCAAAGCCCAGGCCGAGACGTTTCAGCAAGGAATTTGCTATTCAAGAGGATGAATTCCCTGAAGTCACCATCAATATGGCTGATAAAGAAAAATCTAAGCGGTATTCAAATGAATCAAACCCCGACTTTTCCCCGGGAGAAAAAGTCAATTCAAGAATTGCCCAACGGATGTCTCGACTCCAGTCAGGAGCTATCAGATGTAGAGATTACAAGAGAATGCATGAAGGAATGTCATCAGAGGATGAGCTCTCGGACACTTGTTCTGCGATCGCTTCGGATGATACGGTATCTAGCACAGGACAAACCAGAGAAGTACTCACGATCACCTCTGATCAATTTGCTCAAATACTTCAAGAAGCTCTAGCCAAACAACGTGAAGAAATTAGAGCTGAGATGAAGACAGAGATGGAATTGGCTATCCAACAAATGAGAGAATTGCTAGCTCAACGGTCTTAACCTCCAGAGTTCAGTCAGCGAGCGGAATCTAGCCGTCACACTCAGAATGTGGCAGATGATAGTGATCCAGAAGTGGATG